ATTTCTGGCCGTATTTCAGGCCAGATCCAGGCAACATCCTGGCATCCTTTGTCTACGTTTCTCGCTATCTTCCGGCGCGTTGCGCGGGACTGAGCCATGGCTCTTCCTGATTCTGGAGCCTGAAGGCAGGAGCATGGTCCCGGGGGTAAACCGTAGTGAAAGCAAGAACGTGTTCAATATCGTTTTCGCTCCTGACGTCAGCTGTGGCTACATGCTTAAGAGAGTGAGCTGCCTTTGGTAGCATGGCTCAAAAATGTAAAATCAACCACTCCATCAATAATCCTCCTACGGACTAGCTTAGACAAACACCGTTTAAAATACCATGTTTGTACTGAACAACTCACGTTATCTTGCACCAGCATGCATGCCGCTGATTTATCGGCGATGGGCGTTTAGCCCTCGCGTACGAAACGGCCGGCGTTCGAATAAAGTTGGACGGTTATGCGATGCCCTCGGTCCATACAAGGACGCGCACGTTCGAACTATTTTGTGGAATAGGTGCAGTCCATGAGGACGCTGCTCAGAATATAAAAGCGACATAAACTTGTCCTACGGTACATGTGGCACGCCAAGTCAAATTGTTTAGCCATGTTGTGCGGAACTCTGAGGTCAAACAACGGCAGGTGGCCCTTCCTGAAAGTAGATGCCAAATCACGTGACCATGCGGTGAAATGATAACACTGCGCGATGTAGTGGCGTAAGAAACTAAGAATTCGTAGTCACAGCCCTGTTATGATGACAGATGATGAACACAGGCTTTAGGTATGAAGCCATTGGTAAAGTGGCATATTTGGCTGGTACGTGCGAAACAAGGCGTCGTAATAGTAAAGAAAACCTGATGCTTTATCATTTCTTCTCCATGTTGTGTGCACCAGCTTGTCCTGGACATCAACGGCCCGTCAAAGCTCATCTTGAATGGCCGCATATTGGGATGTGAGTAGGCGTACCCACAGTATTTCACATGTAGCGTACAATAAATAGCCTTCAGATTGAACGACGCATCCTTTGTCGGTGTATTTCAACGAAAATCGAATCTTCGAATTCCTGAACTCGCGAATAACAAGTTGCGAATAATGAAATTCGCGATCTTCGTACACTACATTATGAAGACCGCCGAAAAGACGTTACCGACCTTGATCAGTTGCAAGAGGTAAGCGTAACCTGACGACATTTTTTGCCCCATGCGACGTGTTTCAACTATTGTCACGAAGGAATCGTCATTTGTGAGGGAACACCAGCAGCAAAAAAAAGATTCGGTGCTGTCGATAGCACCTCAGACGTGTTTTGGGGGCATGACGTCCTCCCCCACATGTCAGGAGTTAACTGGGGGAGGGTGTGGAGATACATTTTTACCGCACATTTCTTTCCGCACCACATCCGTTGCTATGTAGATTAGAATGGCCCTATCTCTGAGCGTTATAGTTCTTACCTAAAAACATGCAAATACGTTTTAAAGCGCTTGCAAGCACAGTTATATTAACAGGAAATTTATCTGTGACAAGTGTGGAAAAGATTCGAACTTCCAGAAACCACCGGTGGAGTTACAGACGTTGCCGTCTCCGACGATTACCGCGCCGTACTGGAGGGCGTTTAGCACCAGCTGGTAGCTCGCTCCAGGCCGAGAAGTTGCCTTCTCTTACACAATGCGTGACATTGGCACTTTCGGTGCTGTTCATGTTCAACGGATGTGAGTGTGAAACCAGGTTCTGGTGTAAATCGCTTGACGGCGGAACCAAGCGCGTCGATAAGTGCTTAGAAATATGCATGTCCAATCCAGAGATAAGCAGGAACGTGCCAAGAACGCGTTATGTTCGTCTTGCCCCCAGAAATACAGTAGTCAGAACACCTGAAGCCATGGCGGTTATCTCCGGCTGCCATGAAAGCATTTGCGGACTACTGGTCAAAGCGGGTTGACCCTGACACGGAGCGAGACGCGAGAGGGGTCTCCTGATGCCCTGTATGACCAAAAAGTAGGAAAGTAAATTATCCGATGAACCGAAATAACACTAGGTCCAGGACTAAGGCAAAAACAGGCAGTAGGTAACAAAGTCGCATCAGGACAAGACGGCTCAGCGTGATGGCCCAGCTCAGAAAAAATCAACACTGACATCATCCAAGTACAAATGGCATGAAACTGAGCTTACGAAATCATGAACCGGTCCAACAGAACGGTCACTTCTGGCCCACAAGCCGTCGTTGGCGTTATGTTCAACAGGACGACTCTCAGAAATTATCGTAACGAAGCGCAAGTACACATGGCGTGATTGATTCATGAATTTCGTATGCCTTGGGCATGAGGTGTGAATTTTTCGGCAAAAATGGCTGTGTACACTGGGTCATGAACCACACCAAGCCACTGGGTGTTATGCCTTAAATGCCAAGTTAGGCATTGAGACGCCCCCTCCCCAGCCTGTGCCGAACCGAATGGGCTTGATACGGTGCATATCATAAAGCGTCCCAATAAGAATCATGCGGGAAAACGAAACTGGGCGGAGATAACGCCATGTGTCCTGGAGGTTGCACGGAAGGGTATTTGAAAAAGAGCGGACATGAGTGTATTCAGAGAAACTTGCTGCCCTTCACTGGCATGGTTTTTTCAATTACCGACTTGAGATGCTTGAAGCGATGCGTAACGCATCTACGATGCGAACCACTTTTCATATCTCCTAGATAGACCATTCTGTCGATGTAAAAACTAGGCCAGCCTCGAAGCCGTTCAGCGGATCACCACCTGCAGGAGGTGGAGGTGAACCGCCTCTACAACCCCGTCCCTCGCCCCGTGGTGACGTCTGTGCTTTTGACAAGACCTAGCATGGGTCAACCAAGCATTTACGCAAGCTATATTTGGTGCTTGATTTTGTGGAAGGCACTGAAAACTTCCAAGTCACTGTCCTAGCCGTCCGTAAGTCAGCTTGCACCCGGTACGAGGCAGATGTGACGCTATAGTCATTTTATGGCTGTACAAAGAGTATGAGTAGTACCCTGGGCTGACTTCCGCGCTCCCCGTCCGATATCTTGAGGCATACACCATGGGACGAAGACGCCGTCGGCATGCCAACAGTCTGCTCGGAATTCGTGTCAGAAGAACAAAGCGCAAGAACATCTACCTGGTTAACGAATGCTTCCCTTACGCTCGAGGAGTCCTGGGACTTGGCATTTCGTGTTGCGCGTAACCAATGGCAAACGGCGGTATGCAGCTTCCATCTAGCGGCAATACTGGGAACTTTGGTTTGGTCCGACGGAACCGCGGCGCCCGAGTTCCGTCCGTGTCAGTGCCTTGGTATGCAATGATTGCGGTATGACGTGCATTGCAATTGTACGGGTTGGCTCCGATGCACGCCCAGGCCAAGGCGCTATTCCTAGTGCTCCGCCCGGCCTCTGGCAGGTGGTGCAGCTCGGTAATCTCCACTAGCCCCTGGCAGGCGACTGATCTGGCGCCGGCCTCTGCGCAAGCAGCTCCAATCTCCGTCCGATTAGACGGCAAGCAGCTCAATCTCAGCCGATTCTGGCAGGGCAGCTTCCACCAATCTGCGCCTTCTGACAGGCAGCTCCAGAGTCTGCGCCGATTCTGACAAGGCAGCTCCAATCTGCGCCGATTCTGACAGGGCAGCTCACATCTGCAGCCGATTCTGACAAGGCAGCGGTCAATCTGCGCCGGAATTCTTGACAGGCAGCTCTGATCAAGGGGGTCCGCGAGGCTACAGGACAAGCAGCTGCTTATCACCGGCCAATTCCAAGCCAGCAGTCGAGCGGAATCACAGCATGCCAGCGCGGCGTTCATCGGCGGGCGCTCCTGCAGCCCTTGCCTGCTGAGCGTAACGGCGATGTATCTTCGCGACCGGCTTCGGTCGCCTACAACTGACATTGAGCCATGTCGGACTCGTTTGTGGCTAAGTGTGGCCAGGGTACATGGGATCCTCCTCCCTCATCCTTCACAGCCTTTTACGAGATGGCCGTAGGTAGGTTTCATGCGGCGGTCCCTTGCCATCCCCAGGACCTCCGGGAGCTGGGAGGAAGCGTGGGCCGCATTCCATTCAGTATTTGCGAATGCCCTCAGTACGCCTTATTTCCTTGTGGTCTTGGGGGTTTCCTGAAACATTCTCTGGTGAACATCGGGTGGGACCATGGCTAATGGCGTCTCTCCGCCACATTTGGACACGTTGGTGGCCCCGGGACGCCCTGATCAAAGGCTCCATGAATGTCATGCCTCCTTACCAACCATCCCTGCCCCCCCCCCCCCCCCAACGGAAAGGTGCTGTTTAGCAGGGTCTTGCTCTGGGTGTGGTCAGAATTGATTGCAAAATGTATTAATTTCATCCACTCAGGATGGGAGCAATGCTTTTACTTAATGCATGCCTGCATCAGGTTTGATCCCCACCAAGCTAATGGTTGAATCAACTCAAGCATGGAGCAGTGCATGCAACAGCATGGATGAGTAAATATGAAATGATCTAAGTACAAATAATGGTGCATATCAGTACCTATACATGACAGCCTCATTGGTCATACATCCATCAGATCACAATCATTTAAGACTGCTACTATAAAATGGTAATGCTATGCAGGCTGTATGAACAAAAGGCAAAGACTTGCTTACTAGGTGTCTGCACTTGGATCAGCTGCATCAGAAAAAAATGCTTGGATTATAAGGCATCATCAGTACCATAACCAAATCCAATAACTCTGTGCTGTTAAGGGGGCAGGTTAGTCGATTTAATGTGCTGAGCCAGAGTCACAGTTGATTTCAGAAATATAAAAACCAGACAAGAGCATGTTGCAATGGATGGGCAACTTCCAGATGGACAGGTGTATATGGAAAACAGGATCTGTGCAGCTACAGCCAGTTTCTGAACACAAAATTGGTTGCCACAATTTATTTTGTCACATTTATATGTCCATGGTATAACAGCTATCACATTGTGCCAGAAAAGAAATGACTAAATATCAAGCCAGACCATGAATCTGCATCCATAATGCATATATGCATTAAATAGCCTCCGCCTCCAGAAGCATGCCAACGTGGACAAGATGTTTACTTGACATTGGCATTGACTATCTTTACAAAGTCAGGCTTCAAAGATGCTCCTCCCACCAGGGATCCATCGACATCATGCTGCTTTGCCAGTTCTCTGCAGTTGTCTGCTGACACAGATCCTCCATACAGGATCCTAGTTGCATCTGCAACATCTGGGCTGATCTTCTCCTTCATCCAGTTCCGAATCTGAGCATGGACTTCTTGAGCCTGAGCAGGAGTTGCAGTCTTGCCCGTACCAATGGCCCAGACAGGCTCATAAGCCACAACAACATTTGCCCACTCCTTAATCTTTTGGCGCATGCAGTGAGCTGACGCACCACTACCTCTTCGGTCTTGCCTGCCTCTCTGTCCTCCAACATCTCTCCAATGCAGAGGATGACTTTCATACCATTGTCCAGGGCATGGCAGCACTTCTCAGCAATCAATTCATCTGATTCTCCAAAAATATTTCGACGCTCTGAGTGTCCCAGGATTACCCATTCCACCCCAATGTCCTTCAACATAGCTGGGCTGATCTCGCCTGTAAAAGCCCCTTTTGGCTCCTTATAGCAGTTCTGGGCAGCGCACTGCACATCCTCAGGCAACCTTGCCTTAACATACTCAAGGTACACCGCCGGAACTCCAACAACGACATCCACATTTTTGTCCAAGGGGCCTTGCTTCAAGAATTCACAAATGCCGTCGATGCTCGCCTTATCCCCGTTCATCTTCCAGTTTCCTCCCACAAAGAATCTGCGAGGCATCTTCGAGGCCTGATTGTCTGCGCACAGGCAGCTAAGCATTTGAAATGCTACTGCAACTACCTGTCTCTATACCTTAACCACTTTCACGTACCGATTTCGCGCTCCCAAAGGGTCCAACTCCCCTCCCCGACTGCAGATTTCCAGGATCGTGGGACCGATGCAGAATACTTTGAGCAACAATAGCACCACCGATTGGATCCGCTGGCGGCCCTGAGGTGCTACAGATATGACATAAAATAAAACAAATTTGAAAAAAAATGGAAGTGAAGTACCTGTTACAAATCAATTTACACTCTAAAACAGGCAACACACAAGCAATGATCCTAATCAGCCCTACGTTTTTTGAAGAGTCGAACACAATGCCAAGTGAAAATTTGTTGTGACGTCAAATGGCACGTGATAATCCAGATTCCCACTCTTCCAGGGCAGCGACGTGCAGTGACCTCTAGAGAGGTCAAGGTAGTTGGCAGGGATTTGGTAGCATTTATCTGTGTTATAGCACCGCGCATAAGTTCTATTCCTGGCGCGGTGCACTTCCCTCGAAAAAAGCATCGATGAGCAATTGATGCATGTAACGTCGGTGTGGGGAGTCGCTTGGGCATTATAGGGGCTAAAGCGTTTCCGCAGAGTTTTGGGGATTGCAGGTCTGCATGTCACGAATATATTATCATGTGATTTTCTGATCTGATTGTTAGCTGCCGGATGTTTTGCGATGATGGTGCGTTGGATGGGTGCCCGACTGCCAAAGTGTGTCTTGCATAGAACATTCCTGATATGACCGTGACATCCCAGCAATTATTTCAAAGCATGCTCACCATAAATCTGAGAGCCCAAAATTTGATGCACATTTACCACCAATTTCAGGCATAAAGCAACAGTGTTTCAAAGCATTAAAGATGAAATCAAACAGTGGAACATGACCTGCCATGTATGTTTTCCCAAATGAACTTCCAAAAATCTTAATATGTTCTCTTTATGATGTGCTCCCTTGGTCAGAGGACCTCTCAGAGAGAACATGCACTTGGTCCTTGTCCTGCATTAAGGAATATGGCCAGCTTACTTGGGCACCATCATTTTCTATCTGTTGTCTCAATGTTTCAGTGGCTTATCAGTTAGCTCCATGACCAATGATTACTATGATGGATGTATTGTTTCATTGGAGTTTGGCATCCCTGCTGCTTTGGATGCAGATGCATCTAACACCTAACAGGACTTCAGTTCTACTGATGCATTTTTGAAGGATTAGGTCAGGGGAAAAAGCCATGCTTTGGCATTGACATGCCTGCTTATGTCAGTTTATTTCACCATTATCAGGTTCTTTATATTCACTGTCAGCAGGTAGGCTTCAAAATTAAGTCATCATAGAAGCATGGATATCAGCAGTTGTGCATTTAAAATCATTTCTGGCTTGTGAATCAAAACATGTGTGTTCATCTTCAATGCATGCTCATGCTTAAGTGTAACATGGAATGTTTGCTGGTGAAAATTAATGAACAGTACAGTGCATGTTGTTATATCTTTACAACATAGATGCTCATGCAATATTGTTTGTCATTGGATACTGTCTGGCTGAATATACAACACCAAAAACAGTGGATATTTCATGCAAGCAAAGAGCCATTGACTGTTATATTACTATGCTGACCTGCTGTGTACTTGCTGTTCATCCTAGATACTTTCCTCAGGGAGTCAAGTGACTGCTAATCAGGTAATATATATCTGTTCTATGAATGCTTATGGTTAGCATTTTTAAATGCTTGGTATTAACCTTTGTTGTGGTCAGCCATGCATTGGTCACGCAAAGTGATTTCCTGCAACTTCTAGAAAAATCATCCTCTGACAAGATACAACATTTTGGGAAGATAAGCCACTGGACAATCACAGCACAAAGCTGTTACAACACCAATCTGAATCTGACTGCCTTCCTCTGCCAAGCCACCCAGATTTTTGACACAATGTGCGACTTCACACAATTTGTGCAAGAGACACTCAAGTGGCACCAGGAGACGTACGAGGCATTCCCGCTGGACCCAAACAAGGAGAACAACGTGCGCTTCTCGGTGCGCGGCGCGATATTCTCGGCCGTGCGGCCCACTCCGTTCCGCTCGGCCGTGCGGCTGGCGGCCGCGTCCGAGTCGGCGCTGGCGCTGCTGGACCTGGAGCCGGAGACGGCGCGCCTGCCGCACTTCGTCGACATCGTGGCCGGCAACGACGCGCTGCCGGGCGTGCCGACCCTCGCGCACCGCTACGGCGGCCACCAGTTCGGCTACTGGGCCGAACAGCTGGGGGACGGTCGCGCCCACCTGCTCGGCGAGTACACCAACCGGTGAGCATCACCGCGTTGGCTGCCACCGCTCGGCCAGTTCCGACCGGACTTGGTCGCTTTTTTGTAGTTACGCAACCACCCGTAAAAAGGTGATCAGAAATTGTTACCCTGTCCAGCCGCGGCAAAGATGATTATCACGGATATGAGAGGTCAAAGTTGCAAATCCATCTTACCCTTTAAGCTAAGCCTTATAGGCTGCTAAGTAGGGTGAAATGAACCAATGAAATGAAAGGACATGTGCTAAAACATCTATTAGCTTTTCTTCGGTGCTAACAGATGTCTTGTATTAGCACACCCTCAGTGCTTTCTGTGGGCCCGCGTAAGTAGTTGGCCAATTGCGTGAAATGCACGGCGCTCGACCGATGGAAGTACAGTTCCCACTGGTGCCTCAGTCCATATCTGCCAATGTGTGGTAGCCTTCTGCCTCCTGTTAAGTGCCTCCCGCCTGTCAGAGCTGCCCAGTTGTGACCGTGTCTCTGCGATCTGGGTATGACGCTGACCGCGGCTGTGACCGGCAGGCGCGGCGAGAGGTGGGAGTTGCAGCTGAAGGGCTCCGGCCGCACGCCCTACTCCCGGTTCGGCGACGGCCGCGCCGTGGTGCGCTCCTCCGTGCGCGAGTTCCTCTGCTCGGAGGCCATGCACTTCCTGGGTGAGTGGCGCGGTTGACCGCCGCCAGCGCTCGAGCATCCCGCTGTGGCTGATCGAGAGGTGGGCTCCAGCTGGCCTGCCGGCCATGCGCTTCTATTACCGCCAATTGATTTTAGGGGACAGAGTAGAGTTCTTCACGGTGAGTAACGGTACGCGTGACACGTGACAGCGCAACTTATCACGTACATTTTGGCGCATTCACATGGCACATTTTGGCGTTATCATGCACATGGCTGCTGTGGCCACCTGTGTGCAGTATCTCGAGTTATTGATGAGACCAGCACGCTGCCACTGTGCCAGCTGACAGCGGCGCGACCCGGCGCGACCGACAGTGACGTGCGCCTCCGGTTCGGCAGGCGTGCCCACCTCCCGGGCGGCCACTTTGGTCATCAGCGACGACCGCGTGCCACGTGACGCCTTCTACGACGGCCGTCCAGGTGCTGGAGCGGACGGCCGTGGTGCTGCGGCTCGCGCACTCCTGGTTCCGCTTCGGTTCGTTCGAGATGCTGGCCACGGACGGTGACGTGGAGAACCTCCGACTGCTGGCCGACTACGTCATCCAGCGGCACTTCCCGGACATCGACCTGGCGGCCGACGACAGCTACGAGCAGCTACTGCACCGGGTGGCGGCAGACACTGGCCGCATGATCGCCGCCTGGCAGAGCGTCGGCTTCGCGCACGGGGTGATGAACACCGACAACATGAGCATCCTCTCCGTGACCATCGACTACGGCCCGTTCGGCTTCCTCGACGCGTACGACCCGGACTTCGTGCCCAACCACTCAGACGACATGGGCCGCTACACGTACGGCAACCAGGAGCGCATCGGCCGCTGGAACGTGCAAAAGCTGAGCGTGGCGTTGCGGCCGCTGCTGACGACCGAGCAGGCGGGCCGGCTGGAGCGCGCGCTCGACACCTACAGCGAGGCGTTCGCGGCCGAGTGGCGGCGCCGATTCAGCGCCCGGCTCGGTCTGCCGGCGAGCGCTGAGGCCGAGCGGCTGGCGCAGCGTCTGCTGGCGCTCATGCAGCAGACGGCGGCTGACTTCACCATGACGTTCCGGCAGCTGGGCGACGCCTCGCTGGCGCAGCTGCGCGACGGCGACGCCGGCCCGCTCTGGGCGCTGAAGAGCGTGGCGGCGGCGGCCGGCTGGGCCGACTGGGCGGCGGCGTACGCCGCGCAGCTGGCGGCCGACGGCGTGTCGGAGGAGGCGCGCCGCGCCGCGCAGCGGGCCGCCAACCCGCGCTACGTGCTGCGCAACTGGGTGGCACAGCGCGCCATCGAGGGCGCCGAGCGCGGCGAGTTCGACGAGCTGGAGACGCTGCTGGAGATCCTGCGCGAGCCGTACCGGGAGCAGCTGGCGGCCGAGGAGCGCGGGTACGCGGCGCCTCCGCCCGACTGGGCCGCCACGCTCAGCGTCAGCTGCTCCAGCTGAGCCCTCGGCCATCGGATGACAGGAGCGGCCAGCCGTCGTCGCGCCAGTCGCGCTAGCAGAGCGATTGGCTACCCATGGCTTTTTCAACGTCCGTCGCTCCAGTTCCAGCTCGGCCAGTCGTCTCGAAGTCTCACCAGCTGTGCGGTGGAGATGGACTGCGCCCGCGGGGCCGTGATCGGATGATGAAGCTTGTTACGTGCCGACAATATGAGCCTTTGGCTTTGGTTCGCCTTGCGGAAGGGCGCGAATGGGCGATGGGTGTACTGGCTGTGTGATTGAAACGCGAACGGCGTGCGCATAATTGTTACCGTGCTGTGAAACAACACAAGAAGTGCTTGGATTCAGCACGGTCTAGCTGTTTATTTGATTCGCATGACAGTTTATTTTATTATTGCAATCATGGATCGCCGTCTCATATTTTAAGAAACGGACCATGCCTGTGCGGGGTGAGCGATGAACACACTATGACAACGGCGGTGGACGGGAAACATTTGGAAACCCTTGTCTGGGAAAGCATAACGAACCAGATGATATATTGAATATACTCTACGCACGGCAGTTTAGTCACGGCAGCAAGTCAGACTTCGCACCGGACTTCGTTGTCGGCGCAATGCAGGCACTCTCGATCGATGATTCGCGGTTCGCACACCAGTGGCGTCACCACCAGTGCCAGTTTTGGCTGGGATCAGCGCAATTCAAACTCCTGGTCGAACAGCTGGTACAGGAATATGTCCACCCCGGCGTCTGCGATGAACTCATCCACCAGCTGGTGTATCGTGGCCTCCGGGAGACTGCAACAACGAGTTTTGGTAAACTCACGTCATGTAGGATCTAAACGCGTGAGGCCGTGCTGCACAGGCATGCTGCTGCACAGGCTGCACAGGCATGTCAGAAACAGTATAAGAAAGTTTGAGGAGCGCGGATTGTACTGGCCGGACCACCGGCTGTTGCTATGGAGACGGGGAGGGAGGAAGCAACGTAACAGGAAGTTTGAGGAGCGCGGATTGTACTGGGCGGACCACCGGCTGTTGCTATGGAGACGGGGAGGGAGGAAACAACGTAACAGGAAGTTTGAGGAGCGCGGATTGTACTGGGCGGACTACCGGCTGCTGCTATGGAGACGGGGAGGGAGGAAACAACGTAACAGGGAGTTTGCTCAATGACTTGCCGTACCAGTCTGGAACGAGCTATGGAATGTAGCACTGACCAAAGCAGTGCCATCTCGCACCAGACTTCTGCTTGACTCCGGGAATGAGCCTGAATCGATTCCGAAATCACCCATATGAGACAAGGACTGGACTGTGTCATCATTACATGTTGGAAACAATGATTTATGAACTCAAATGAAAATGAAAATTTCATATGCCCATTCTAACCTTTCTTCCATGTGCAGCAAATGGAACGCAAGGTGTGCTGTCAGCTTATGTCAGCACGGCTTAACCAAATACAGATACACTCTGCAGGAGCTTTTGTGCAGACCATGGAGCTCTTCCTTCCGTAAAATCTTTCCAATGGGATCGATTCCATCCACTTTATCAAGAAATCAAGCCATGTTTCGTACTGTTATGAGTCAGAACCCACATCAATCCCATGCGTCACCAGCCGGCGTCGCCACCGACGGCGAAGCACGAAAACAAAGCGCGTCCGCCCCGCTCCACATCAGCGGGGGCATCAGACCGCCCCTAGGGCCGTCCGTACCTCTTGAGGGCGTCGTCGGCGCTGTTGGCCATGAAGTGGCGCAGCTCGGCTGTCACCGTGCCGCGCAGGCCGGGACTGAGCGCCTCGTCGGCGAACAGCTGGCGGATGCTGCGCTGCAGCCCCTCGGCCGGCGGCCGGCCCGCCAGCGACGTGACCGACGTGCTGGCGTCGACCGTCGGCGCCGCCAGCTCCGGCGCAGGCCCGACCCACGGCGGACACTCCGCGCGCGGCAGGATGAGCGGGTCCGCCGCGGTCAGGTCCGGGCTCAACCCGAGGGTGTCCAGCTCCAGGTCGAGGCACACGTCTTCGTCTTCAGTTTGTCTCCTCCTGCGAAGGTTACAAAATTGAAGATGGTCATGGCTATGGTCGGTGCACACGCAGCGTTCGGCCAGTTAATGCTCCGGCCATCTGAATCATGATCGGGCTTCAGTCATGTACGCATCTCAACCCAACTTTCTCCTTGGAATCGCTGGGTTCGGAACTGGGCCTGGGAATCTGGGATCGGGAGCCGGCAAACCAAGTATTCTCAGGAGAAAGTCGAAGTTGTTACGTTGCCGACTGTTATTGACACCTCGGAAGCGCGGACACTTGTAGGAATAACCAACCTTCCTTGTAATGATTTACAAGTCCTCATTCAGTAAACCCCGAGAACCTTGCCGCTTCCTGTCTCATCGATGCGCTCCCCAAGTAGGTTGTTTCGCCTCCTTCCTTGTTCTAGGTATGAGGCGTGCCTTATAACTGGTCCATGCTTACCGCCTCTCATTTGAACTCTGGGGCCTCAGCAAACAGCCCCTGCCCTCCGCATGTGGTTTTCTAACTCCATATCTGCGGTTCTCTACTTCTTACATGCGGTTGTCTGCCCGTTTTTAGCGATTACCCCGCGGGAGATTCTCTGCACTTTGTGCACAGTTCTAAACTGATATTGGTGAGCTGTTCTCTGCCCCGGGTGAACCATTCGAGCCCAGCATCGACAATCGGTTCACTGCCCCTCGTGAGCGGCATTCTGAACGCGATAATTCTTACAAGTCCTGGTTAGATGGCCTTTATAACATCTCCTGGTCAAGCGACTCTTGTCTGGTCTCCGCAACTCACCCGGCCTCGCTGTGAGTCACCACTTCAAGTGAGCGATCTCACCTGCTTCTACTGAGCGTTTCTCACTCGCTCTATGTGCGTCGTACGATTCTCCGCCCATCTCAGCGAGCACTTATCTCCTTTGTGAGCGGTTCTCACCGGTACCCGCTCGGCGACACTCACCTGGCGTCGCTGAGCGGTTCTCACCGGCCCCCGTTCGAAGACTGACCTAACGTCGGTGAGCGGTTTTCACCAGCACCCGCTCGGCGAATCTCATCTGGCGTGCATGAGCGGTTCTCACCAGCCCCCGTCCGGCGACTCTCACCTGGCTTCCGTGAACGGTTCTCACTGACCCCCGCTCGGCGACCCTCACCTGGCTTCGGTGGGCGGTTCTCACCGGCCCCTGCTCGGCGCCTCTCACCTGGCGTCGGTGAGCAGTTTTCACTAGCCCCCGCTCGGGTGCCTCTCACCTGGCGTCGGTGAGCGGTCCTCATTAGCCCCCGCTCGGCGCCTCCCACCTGGCCTCGATGCGCGGTTCTCACTAGCCCCTGCTCGGCGCCTCTCACCTAGCGTCGGTGAGCAGTTTTCACTAGCCCCGCTCGGTGCCTCTCACCTAGCGTCGGTGAGCGGCTGCCAGCGGCGTCGGATGACGTCCCGCTCCCTCTGCATCTCGTCCAGCCGTGCCAGCACCTGGCGCAGGTGGCTCCGGGTCGCCTCGTCCAGCGTCGCGCCACCGCCGGCCGCCTGCCGCGACTGCCGCACGCGCAGCTCCGTCAGGTGTCGTCCACGGCGCGCAGGGGCCGTGTCGGGCGGCGCCCATCGCTCGCAGGTTACGTCGAACGTCACTCGGCACAGAGTCGGGCCGCGCCACAGAGCTATAGACCGAACGTGTCCATCGCTCGCAGACTACGTCGAACGTCACTCGGCACAGAGTCGGGCCGCGCCAGAGCTACAGAGCTACAGATCGTAAGCGTCCATCGCTCGCAGGTTACGTCGAACGTCACACGTCACACAGTCGGACCGCGCTACACAGCTATAGACCGAACGTGTCCATCGCTCGCAGGCTACGTCGAACGTCACTCGGCACAGAGTCGAGCCGCGCCACAGAGCCACAGAGCTACAGACCGTAAGCGTCCATCGCTCGCAGGTTACGTCGAACGTCACTCGGCACAGAGTCGGACCGCGCCACACAGCTATAGACCGAACGTGTCCATCGCTCGCAGACTACGTCGAACGTCACTCGGCACAGAGTCGGGCCGCACCACAGAGCTACAGAGCTACAGACCGTAAGCGTCCATCGCTCGCAGGTTACGTCGAACGTCACACGTCACACAGTCGGACCGCGCTACAGAGATACAGACCCTAAGCGTCCATCGCACCCAGCAGCAGCAGATAGGGTCCGAACCGTCAAGGACGCGTTCGAACCCGCCCGCGAAAACGCGAATTTGGAGAGGCTGGCTTCAGATCGAACCCGGCCTACTGAGCGGTGAGTCTTGAGTCAGACACTGGGCTTTCAGGGAGCGGGGATCATACCACGCCACAATCCGACTGACCTCCGCTGCAGCGCCCGTCCCAGCCGTCAGCCGCGGCGCCGGAGCCGTCCGCCTGGTGACCGGGGCCGGCCGGCGTGTCCCCGGAGCGGTCCGCCCGGCGCGCGGCGCCGTCCGACCGCCGGCGCGGCGCCGCTCGCCGCGTCAGCGCCGGGTCCGTGGCCACGCGGGCCAGCGCACGGCCGACGGCCCGCTCCACGGCGGCGGCCAGCCCGTCCAGCGGGTCACGGGGGGCGGCCGACGAGCCCGAGTCGTCCTCCTCCGGCAGCGGCGTCAGCGGCGGGCGGCTCGTCAGGGCCGGAGCCGGCGGCGCCTGCCGCGGGCGCGCGGGCTCAACTGGGACCGGCTGCAGGCGCACAGCACACCGCCCTGTCTGAGGCGCGACTTTTCAACGGATGCTTGATCTACTTGACGAATTTGGAGCAAAACGGTCGGTGAGATTTTAAGCGATTTACCATAGTGTGGGCGACTTTAGGGAAATTTCGATCTCGACCGAACGCCTTACGATTTTCTGGTACATGATTGGCATCTTGATGTTTTTATGATTCCACTCCCTCGGCGAAGGGATGCCAGCACGTTTGACCTGACTAACACAGTCCACGGGCCCGCGTGACATCTCACCTTCGGTGTACTGTGAGGAGCCGAGTCGGGCCGTCTTCCTCTGGAGGGTCGGCTCACTTTGCGGCCAGGTGGGGCGCTTCTCACCGACGACTTTTCACCAGTCTTGGACGATATCAGTCGCTCTATAGTCGACTGGGATACAACAGGCTGGTAATCACATATATGAAGACTTAGTGACGCCACACGGACCGCGTCAAAATCAGCCGCACTTACGTGGGATGTGCTATGCGGTCAACGAATAATACTTTGGAAACATGCGACCTTGCCCTGCAAAACTGTCGCAAATTTGATGTTTTTTTTGGCAACCCACGAGTCCAGTCTTTTCGTTGGTCTCGCAAGAGCCTAGCAAATGAAGATGTTGGAATTCAAGCATTTGTGGTCAAATGGTATTTCCTATTCTGCCATGCCGATAACCTGCACAACCGCACCTGACACAGCGGCAGCAGCGACCATGACGACGAACTTGGGATGACTTATGTCAGTCGTCAGCTCCAACGTACTGAGCCTAGCCTGGTGATGTCTGAGCGAACGCCAGCTTCAAGCGATTGGCCTTGATCTGATGATGCTCGTACGGTCACAAACCGGACATAATGGATACTGACCTTCTGGTTCCGCCTGAGGGACCGCCAGCCCTAGCGCTTGACGTCGACATGATGATGCCTTTATGGCCACAAGCCGGACATAACATTGGCCTTCTAGTTCTGCTTGAGGGACTGCTACCTCCAAGCGATTGACCTTCATCGGAACGATTACAAGCGGACACAACTGACCTTGACCTTCTGGTGGTGGCGGAGCGGGCGAGCGCCGGAGTGGCCGACCCGCTCTGCCGGCCGCAGCTGACGACGGCGCCGCTCGGCTGCCGGGCCGAAGCGTCCCAGCGCCATCTCGCGGATGAGGGAGCCGACGTCGCCGGCCGTGGTCACGTGCTGGCCGACCAGCGAGGCGAGCCGCTGCAGGGAGTGCGGGTCCGGTCAGCCGAAACGCGGCGATGCGAGACGAGACGAGAAGAGACAAGACGAGACGAGACGAGACGAGACGAGGCCAGGCGAGGCGAGGCGAGGCGAGGCGGGTCTGTATCGCACAGGCCGCGACCTCACAACTAAATCAGCGGAGCGGACAGCTGGGGCCGAAGCGAATCAGCTGTTCGACACCGGGACGCGCCGAAGGACGTCGACAGACCAACCTCGGGCATGTCGGAGATGTCCGAGAAGCGGATGCCGAGGTGGGCGCAGATGTCGACCAGGTTCCTGCAGACGGAGAGCAGCTCGAGGAAGCGGGCGGCCTGCTGACCGTCCAGAGAGCCGTCCCAGTAGTTCTGCACGAACGCCTGCCGGGCACGGACAGCGGCGTCAGGGGCGCACAGGTAGCGTGCCGGCCGTTGACGCGAGGCCCGGATTCGTCGAATGCCGCGGGCAGCAGATCCCTTTAATCGCTCGGCACCACGTGTAGTGAGAGGCTGTCGAGTGGTGCATCATCGTGATTAGCGTTGGTGAATAATGAAACAAGTGGCATTGCTGGGCCCTTCTTCTAGCAACCAGCAGGCTGCTAAAGGAATTGATTGCACCGATAACTATTACGTGTGTATTACGATAACTATTACATGGACATGCTCACCTGATCAAGGTGGCACCTCTCTTTTGGTCAGTTTTCTCTTTACACTGTAACAGTTCTACAAAATTTTGGACTAAGCATGGCCACTATGGCAGGTGAGTGCATCACAGCGTCGGTCATCAATCACTGTGCAGGTTAATACGTTACAGACGGCCGCTGACAAAGGACAACAGTGATTATATTTCAGTCGCTCCGCATTTGTTAAGGTTCAAAAGACGCTTTTTGGAACAGCAATGTCTTCCTCTTCTTGGAAATACAACATTTTAAAACCCTGGTGTGTCCAACTCTTTAAACGGACACGGTATTTATCAGTTCTTGGCAATTGCACACAAAAACAATCGTTTTGTTGTTTTTTTCTCTCTAGACAAACATGCGTCAACTAATGTCATGGTCATCTGCGTCGAACAGACACGATTTTCGAGTGTATCGATACAAAATGGAAGCCCGCCGTTACCTGTGTCACCCTGAGTGCTGATCGATGGGCTCGCACCAGCTTCCGGATGACGTCACCTTTGACGGATGACGTCACCCGGGACTGCGGGATGCCGCACACATTATCCATCACCAGATCGACCTGAAAAACACGACATGTTAACAATGGTTAACAACTGAGTATGTGCTACATGTTATCCAGACTAAATGCTATAGTGCATGCATCTAGGCATCTGTGTGCACCGGTGCTGTCTGTGCTACATGTTATCTGTGTAAAATCTGTGCTACATGTTATCCAGACTACATGCCATACTGCATGCCATCTAGGCATCTGCGTGTACCGGTCAGCTGGGCGGCTGGACAGAGACATTGACCAACAGGTGCAGACAAGACATCGAACGGCGCGAGTGCACTCATTCACCCCACACCAGAGCCCGTGTCCTCGTCCTGCTGATACCCCAGGGTGACAACCAGATGGTACGGTTCTTAAACAGATGGTGCGTGTGTACAGGTCAGGGGAAAACTGAAATACTTGGCAGTGTTAACTGTTTTCTATCACTCAAATTAGCGTGGCACTAGCCAACGGAACTGCAACAGTCGGAAAATCGTATTTGAGTTAAGTGTGTATAAAACTGGTCTGTGTTCTCATTATCTGCCTTTGCCTGCAGTTTTATATTTGCGCCGCGCAAAGCTACGAGGCTTTGGCCTTAGCGCTGGCCATGCGGGCAGCGAGTACGCAACATTGATACTTTCATCACTGTGGTATTGATTTCTATTGCGCTACGGCCGAAGAGATAGCTCAGAAGTGACAATGCTTGAGTTGATGTAATGCTAATCGTTCAAGCTGCATTTTGACAAAATAACATCGGATCGGCCCAGGAAAACAAAATTGTTAGACCTGGTAGGCCCAGTTCCTTCAGGTTTGATGGCTGGAGTGTTAGATCCGGTCACAAGAGTCGACATTTCCGATGATTTCTTCCGCATGGTGTCGTATGTACACAGAGACCAAAAGATGCAACACACATTCTTTTCCATAGTAACGACATATAACTGTTCCTCCGCGCCGTATGTTTAACTATGGCACATTCGACAAGACGTTAACGCACCCGCGGCGTCCAGAACAACTCCCTATTGCGCCTCAAGCCCTACCCGCCGCCCTCCCCGCCGCCCCCCCCCCCGCGCTCACCTGCCGCGTCAGCATGTACATCTCACGACTGATCTTGGTGTGGAACTCCTCCATGCGCAGCAGCTTGCGGTTCCAGTCGAGCTGGTCGAGCACGCGCTCCTGCCAGGGGCCCTGCGAGCGCAGCTCGTTCACCTGCTGCAGCGCCTCCACCAGACGCGCCTGCAGGGTACGCAGCAGGTGCAGCGACGGTAGCTGGCTGACGGCCGACCGACTGGCCCGCGACGGCGCCGTCTGCGTGCCTGGCGAGAGGCATCGACACGGGTCATGTGGGGCACCGAGCGCGGCCGCAGCAGGTGCAGCGACGGCAGCTGGCTGACGGCCGACCGGCCGGCCTCCGACGGCGCCGTCTGCGTGTCTGGTGAGACCGACACAGGTCACGTGGGGCACCGAGCGCGGCCGGTGCAGTGACGGCAGCTGGCTGACGGCCAACCGGCCGGCCCGCGACGGAGCCGTCTGCGTGTCTGGTGAGACCGACACGGGTCACGTGGGACACCGAGCGCGGCCGGTGCAGCGACGGCAGCTGGCTGACGGCCGGCCGGCCGGCCCGCGACGGAGCCGTCTGCGTGCCTGGCGAGAGGCATCGACACGGGTCATGTGGGGCACCGAGCGCGGCCGCAGCAGGTGCAGCGACGGCAGCTGGCTGACGGCCGACCGGCCGGCCCGCGACGGCGCCGTCTGCGTGCCTGGCGAGAGGCATCGACACGGGTCACGTGGGGCACCGAGCGCGGCCGCCGAGAAACTGAGGGCCATGGGTCACGATTGGTGACGCAGTGTCTAGTAAAGTTCAATGGAGCGGCTGCCTGAGAAGGGACGGAGTTCATGGTGCTTAGCCAGCACGATCAAATGACTCAGACAGTTGCGTCGAACGGTGACCCTTTCTCTACAGCCTTTCTTTCTAGGCATCTTGGCCTTGATGTTACCAGTCGCGGCGTCTATGCAATCTGCGTCCCAATATGTCCCCCTCGGGCCCGAAATAAAAAAAAACTGGCACCACTGGGAGCATATAAATTATGCATTACGATGATTCTACGCGTCCGGAATTTGCGACAGATTGAATAACTCTGCCCACGCGATGCATTCAGGTCGTCATACTGCAGACCTTTCCTCATTTCTAGGTAGCATGGAGTGCACATTTGCCAGTTATTTCCTTTTACGTTAGTGTGACATCTGCATGCTGCATGCTGCACTCGCGTCTGCACGTCGTCAGGTTTTTGTTACCAGTGAGTCCGCAGGACCGGTGACCGTTCTCTGAGCTCCAGGAAAGTTTTTCAACTGGAGCGGCCAGACCTGGCCCGCTAGGCCGCCGCACTTCCCGTAAGCTAACGTCTTGCTGGCCATTGTTATCAACAAATCACCGAAACAAAGACGGGTCGAATGGTGCCCATCATCGAAGTTAAATAAAGCTGATCAGGGTTGAGACCTCGGCACTGCTCTGCACTTAGCTAACACAGGGGAGCTCGATTCACAGGCTATGCAATGTAACCAGCATCACAGTCTGCGCGCCTGTCCACCAGCAGTCACAACACACAAGTCTGGGTCAGGTGTCTCGATATGCCGCTCAAGGGGCAGCACTGGGTGGTTCAGGGGACTGCGATATGGCTGCCTGGCTCCCTACATCGGTACAGTGAACGTCCTTGTGCCAGGGGACTGGCATGCCTGACTCCGTACATATCACGCTTTGCGATGGTTGCAAGGTCGCACCACCCTTTCTTAAATTACATGATTTACGACGCATGACAGATCAGACCGTTGCTCGCACCTTGACGTGCTGCAGTGCAGGTAAATGTCACGCAATTGCTGCGCTCAGCAGAAAGTTGATGCAGGCTGGCCCTGAAAACGATGTGAAACGGACTCCTGCCCGTATAGCTGTGGCCACGTCTTTTGTCAGAGTGTTTGACTTATCTAACCGCCATCTTAATCCGAAGCACACCATTGAATGAGCACCGTTTCCACTCCGCCACGGGAAAGTATGTGAATGATTCTGATGACACGATACGGGCAAAATCCTGGCGATAGCCCATCATGCCTGACGATATGACTGGGACGCAGACTACAATGGCAGTCAAACGTGAGCCACTGTCTCACCGGTAAAAGCCTTGGGCTGCTCTGCCATTACCTTGTTCACTGAGGAGCGTTGATGCTGTTGGGATATGCTGGATCGAGTCGCATGTTTCATTTCTTTGCTTGGACAGGATGCTGGATAGCTCCGAGTCGCTCTGAGCCCGCTCTGTTACACAATGGAAAGGGTTAGTAAGCTGGATATTGGGGCAATCAGGCGTTTCGACTGCGCGGTCACACCTCGACCAGTTTTCTGAGGAGGAAACATGAGATAACATCTAGAGTGCGTGACGGTAATTCGAACCATTTTCTGAAAGACGTAGTTCCGCATAGGTCTCTGATAAGCAGCACCAATGTGACTTCTGGGTAAATACCAAACAACGATCGCCACTGGCAAACTGGGGTAAAGCTAGTATGCCTTTACGGACTCATATAGGTACAACCTAGATGTAGACTCATCACTCAACATGAACCATCTGAAGGCTGCATATGTGCCTCATTCAAGTCCATTCAACATATGTGCTCATGCCAGACAAGAGTTTGAAGCTGGCTTCAGTGTCGGCTGCGCGAGGTCACATTTATGGGTTGTCTTTATACAACTTCAAACAGTTAATTTTGGTTTCAGCTTCCACTTTGCATCATTTGTACCAGCTGGCTTTTGCTTCAGCTCCGAACAAATTTCGAATTATGTATACAGCTTAATTTTTATGCGATCTTGAACTGTTAGCTGAAGCTTTTTCACTGTGCCTTGTTTTACTGCTGTTGCACTTAGTTTCACAAAAACTTCCGGCCTGTCCTGCTACCTCAATAAGCCACACAACCTTTTGAAGCTGTGACACTAAGATGGCTTAACATCAAGGCAGTCAAAAAATCTTCCATACACAATACATAATATGTAATACTGAACATTCATACCCTCATAAAACAAGATGAGATTTCTGATCCTATATTGTTTTGGCAGACACCAAAATGGTTCTGGTTTTACAAAATGACCTTCCACACAAAATCAGCTCGGGCTTCAACCAAAATATTTTATGTTGGTAGGTTTGGGTTTGGCTTTGCTCTTCTCAAAACTGAAGCTGCTAACATTGGCCCTGGCTTTGCATGCACAATGTTTCAAGCCACTTGGAAACACAGGTTCAGAGTCATATTTTAAAAGCATGCAGCAACCAGCTTGGACATTGACTTCCCAGCTCTGAAGTTCAAAACCATCAGCTTTGCCTCTGACTTCAGCTTTATGCCATTGCTTGACTATGGAATTGATTTTCAAGCCAGAACTTTGACCTTATACCAACCCATGAAACATTTGTCAGAAGCCAGTCAGTGACTCACCAGGGTCAGTGTGTGATGCAGAGTGAGCATTATGCTGGTGCCTGCCAGTCAGCTCATGCCCTTGCTGCAGGTTCAGTGCCTGGATCAGGGATTGGGTGGTCTGCTCCAGCTGGTGGTCAGCCTGTGCCCGCTCAGTGGCAGAGCGCAGCTGCAGTGCTGGCAAGTGCTGAAACACAGCACAGCCTGAGACATCAAGGTTGCCACATGGTATGATTTAAAATGATGACTAAAAATTGGCACAGGCAGATAATTGCATTTCATGTCACACATTTCTGGTGCAGATGAGAGCCCATACTTGCAGCATCAGCAGAACATCTTCACTATCAGCTATTCTGGGTCTCTTAAGTTTGCATATGCTCCAACAGGTGATTCAAGCAGTTTAAATGGGTGCTTTTGTTCCAAATGCCCAGTCTCCAGACCCACTTCATTATGGATATTAGATGCTGCTTAGAATCACCACATATGCTAAAGATAAGCTGATAAGCCTTCTGATTCCATATCATTCTTCTCATTTTCAAGGAAACCTTTTAAGCCAATCAAAGCATGGACAGTGGGCATGATAGCACTCAGCATTTCATAAACATCTTCACACTGCATACCCATGTAGTAGGAAAGTATTGCACAAAAGGATCTTCAGCAGTTATTTCTCACTACAAAGGAGGAGAACTCTTAGATAGAACTGGAACACTACACTTCCTAAGTAGATCAAGCATAGAAACAGCAGATTTTTTGAAAAAAAATTCACTTGCTAAAAATAATATTGTAAGATATTAATACTGAGTTTGTGATAAAAATACGAATAGCCATGATTAATACCTACTTGACCAGATTGTACCAGAGTTGTTACTTGGCCAAACCTGACTATTCCTGGTTATGTGCAAAGAGCAGCAGTTCACAGACATAGTAAGGCAAGCCCAATAGCAGGCTGAGATCTATGACAGAGATTTACATCAAGTCGCAAGTGGTGGCATTCAAGTCATTCCACACAATTTCCAGTAAATACAAGATACGCTCAACCCATAGCCATCTTCTGCCCAACTTCCAACCACAGACATGTCTCAGCAGACAACCAAGGTAGGTACACACTTACCTACAAAGGACAAGCAGCTGCAAACCCAGTTTCCCTACCTTAAATTGGTGTTGTACTGAAGCTTGTTTTGGAACCAGCTTCTGAATGGAAATAGGTTTGGGGTTACTGAAGGAATCATCCTCATAAGCCATCATGGTAGGAAAGAGGGGCATCATCCCTCATCTTCATGTAGGTGACCTGAGCCAACAATGCCTCCCAGAACACATCCACCTATGATTAATCTAAAACTCAGACTATGCCCCTTATGGGCTTCCTCCAGCCCTGGGCTTACAGCTATGTCCACTTCTCCTAGTGTGGTATACTGGATCCCGGCATGGTTAGTACAGACAACCCATCCCACCATCACATCCTCCCTGTATTTCTCTCAGGGCCAATGATGTTTAAAACGTAAACAAATATGCACAAGAGCTATTTTTAATTTCACGAAATCCCGATCATGAGATGACTTTACAGTCATTTTACATGTATACTGAGTTCAGAACATTTTTGAATTAAATAAAACTAAATTCTTATTCAATATTTCGTCCATTTATCAGAGTACATCAAGAACTTTCAGCCCACATCCAGCTGATGCAACGCAGTTTCAACCAGGCCGTTGTTATCCTCGTGACTTACATTGCGATTCGCCGGTTGACGTTAACGGGGCACTCCATGGCCTTTCAATTAATCATGGTCTTTTAAAATCTTGCTTTCGATGGAAGTAAACAGATATTTCATATGTAATAACGGCGGCGCCCGTGTTAAATTATTGGCGGACATGTGTAAATGGAAACAGGGGCGTCAGATGTAAAATGGCATAAACTCACGGGCAAACTGGACGAACGAAGGTAAACCGGACGAGTTACGGGAAACCCGATCAGACTCGACGGTTTTTGGGGAAGTGCGCGCGTTGATCATCCGAAATCAACGCTTCGTTTGCCTGCGCCGTAGGTGTTATCGTTAAACCGTACCCCACCCGCCAGCGAACGAGCCAGCGCACAGGTGGCTGCATATATATCCTATACCACTAGATGGGAAACAGCTGGACTCATCACCTGGTTGGTGGGCGAGTCGTAACTCCAGCGGAACAAACTGCAGAACGACAGACCAAGGCTCGGTCAGCGGTCACCACCGCCCCGGCAACAGGCACTGGAAGGCAGCCCACCGCGCCAGGCGGCGCTGGCGAATGCGGATCACCAATGAGGCGACGGGCGGTCCGCGGAGCCGATCAGGTATACAGCTGGAAATACATATGACGCCTATCTTGGTACTCACGTAACGTGTGAGGCGAGTTCTACCTCGCAAGACCCGTTTAGACAGGACAGTGGCCTAGTGCTTTCGGTTTGAGGTATCGTCAGCGGCCCACCAGACACGGCTGGAGGAGGTGGCGCACACGAACGCCTGCCTGTCGCCGGTGGCACCGGCGGCCAGCATGTGGCAGTTCTGCAGGCCCTCCAGCCGCCAGACGTCCAGTCGGGCGGCCGACACCGAGGCCGCTTCGGTGCAGGCGCGCACCGCGTTCAGCGGCGCCACGCGCAGCTCGTGCTCCTTGCCTGTCGGCGGCCGCGGTCGGCTGTGAGCGCGCCCGGAGCCCCCCCCCCCCCCCCCCCACCACCCGCGGCGCGGCGCGATGCTGCAGACTAAAGAGGCTGACAGATTTATTGGCGTTTAGCCTGAAGACTTCCAGACGAAACCTTAAGACAATAGGCACGCACTGTTGGTCTTGAAAGGGACAGGAAAACTAGCTGTGAAGGTACGTGCGACATGCGCGGTGAAACACTGAATTACAATGGAGGAAACTGACGCATGCACTGACCCCCTTCAAACCCCTTTTCTAACGTCCCGAGCACAGAACGCTTTCGAATTCAGAAAAACTGCACGACACGTTTGCGTTACAAAAGCGGTGTAAGCGGGGGTATACTGCTTACCCAACTCAGAGGGACCACTACAACAGACAATTTTGAGGTTTGCAGGACCCGAACTGAGCTAACGTCATCCAGTATTCATTCGTCACAAAACCAGTAGCAAACGTCGCCCTGCGACATAGGCTCAGACATCAAAGAGACTTACAACGCCGTTTTTACAATCGCGGAACTCACGATTGTCATCACCAATGCAAGGAGCTTGGCGCCAGGCCCGGACAACATTGCAAATAATATGATTAAACATGTTACAACCCGATTGCTGTCGTCTCTGTTACAGGTTTTCACTTTTATCTGGGTAATCGACACGTTCCCACAGCGGTGGAGCGAGTCGATTGTGATGTCGATTTTAAAACCACAGAAGGACGACACAGAACCTTTAAATTACGGACCTACACGGGTCTCGATTTCTGAACGTGACTGGGGACCAGAGCCTTGGAAGTCGCTGTAGGGGTCAGGTACGGAAAACTTATGAAGACATAGTCCACTTGGATATATATATATATCTATATATATATATATATATATATATATATATATATATATATATATAGCACCCGGATATAGTCCGGGTGCTAGATATAGATATAGTAGTATAGTATATCTATATATATATATATATATATATATATATATATATATATATATATATATATATATATATAGCACCCGGAAATAGTCCACTTACATCCTGTTCTTTGTGATTCATTGGAACATATATATATATATATATATATATATATATATATATATATATATATATATATATATATATATATATATATACATGTGTGTGTGTGTGCCAATGAACCGCAAAGAACAATGTAAGTGGACTATATCCGAGTGCTGTATATATATATATATATATATATATATATATATATATATATAATGTGCTGTAGTTTGTAGTATATGTAGTGTTGTAGTTACCTGTTGAATTGGTGTGGAGTCCAGATAAATGGAAAACTGAATTGTTTGCCATGAGAGCCATATATATATATATATAGATATATATATATATACGGCTCTCATGGCAAACAATTTAGCTTTCCGTTCATTTGGACTCCACACCAATTCAACAGGAAGCTACAACACTTCTCTTATGCGCTTCCTCGCTCTGCCTGAGCGAAAAATGTTGTTGGGCATCATTGCCATTATTGTTTCGCGTCGATCGTCGAAACCAGGTTTCGGTATTCGACGTAAGGCTGATGTCACGTGGCTTCAGACGTTTTTGGACGTGTGTGACATTGGGAGGAAGTTCATTTGCGCTACTATGAAAGGCTGCTACGGAAAGCCCCGGCTGGTAGCCGAAAGGCGGGCTGCAGGTGGCAACCCAGCCCTCGCTTTAAGCATATTCGGCACAGAGAGTGCTGTTTTGATGGTCATTGTGGGACGACTGCGGGTATCGGTTTAGTCGGCTGGTGTCGAACGTCAAGTTTTTGTAACGACTCCATTGAATATTCGTGTCGAATTCGAGGCCGGCACACTTTAATGGTTCTTTCGAGCGTTGTCGGCAAGATAAATATTCACGTTTTTGGATTCCGGCACTTGACCGGTTTGTTTTCAGTGTTCTGATAAGATATTGTAAGGCATCGTAGCAAAATAGCGCAGATTGCTGCGGTCAGCGGATCTTTAAACATCGCTGAATAGTGCCGAAACGCTCAGACAACAGTGCAAATCTTTATCAGAATTAGCAAGGCACATAAAACGCGCAATTAGAAGCGTGCATCATGCAAAAAAGAAGAAAATACTCGCGTAAACACGGCACGAACGCGGAGTTTTTATAGCGTGACTTCCTCAGTCAGTAGCAGTCAACTAAACATGACATTGCATTTTTCATTTTCTTTGTTCCCCTTACCTGTGGAGAATTAATGGAAACCTTCTTTAAGGCTGGTATAACTTTTGTTTCCCATGTCATACCTTGCTTGTACTTTGGTTCCGGAAGGTTGGGGGCCAAATTCACCGTTTTGCGGACAAACCGGACATTGAGGGGGGGGGGGGGGCAATGGCACGCCCAAGAAATGCAAATCGACATGCGCACCGACCTATCTCACTCACGTCTTGCGTATGTAAGATCTTTGAGAAGGTGGTAGCTGCCAGATTCATGTGTTTTTTTTTTAGAAAGAGGATCTTTTATCAAATATGCATGATTTTCGCAAAACCAGCGCACCGTTGACCGTTTGATCATTTTGGAAGGCACTGTTCGGAAAGCCTTCAAACAAAAACGTGTTTTGCTGTTTTTTTTATAATCAGGGCACCTGCAACAAAACTCGACTTCACGGCATTCTGTATAAACTTCATTATTGTGGCGTACTTGGAGACATGGGCTGGTTTTTAGCGAATTTTTTCCTTGACCGCTGTTTTAGAGTACGAGTGGGTAATACTCGCTGCCAGCGCTTTGCAGAAAGCAATGGTGACCCGCAGAGGGGCATTGTGAGAGTGGCTTCATTCGCCATTATGGTAAACGACATTTGTCACACACTGCCCGCTCACGTGGGCCAATCGTTATCTGTTAACGACTTTGCGATCTGGGACGCCACTCCCACGTCAGTATCAGCAGGCCGCCAGATCTAGCTCTGCCTTGATAAGACTGCCAAGTGGAGTATGCTCAACGGTTTTACATTTTCAACACCTAAGACACTCTGTATAGTTTTTCTAGCCGCCGTAAACCGCGCAGTGATCGGCAGGTCAAGCTGTATGACAGCGTTATTCCTGTGGAGAGAAGCTTAGTTTCTGGGCGTGATATGGACCTTGGTCTTTCATATGTGTACCACTTTAAACATCTACGTAGCTTAAAAGTTCTTGACTTGGAAAAGAAGTGTCGCTTATGACATACGGAGAGACGCAAGCCTATGCTTTATTTGTAATGTTTACTTATCAGGCCAAAGTTGGAGTATGCGTGTTTGACTTGTGACTCAGCACGCGGCTCTATGAAGAGATCACTTGACACCATTCACCAGGCAGGCATTCGTGCAGCCACTGGCGCATTCCGCACGTCGCCCGCAGCGAGCCTGCTGGCAGACGAGGATAAATCTTTCCTCGATATTAGATGACGCGCTTCAGTAATGCGGCGTGCGATGAAAATTAGCCAATTACCCACGCACCCTGCACAGAACTAGATGTTCAGTGCCGATCAAATGGAATCCTTTTCTCAGGGGAGGATTCGCAGAACCCTACTGCTCCGTGTTCGTCGAAATGGCTGGCTGCGCGATGCTGGTGTTAATCGACGCCAAATACAGACCCGCTGTAGTTTATCTAAGAAGCCGTGGCTGATCTCTCAACCCACATATGATACATCACTTAGCATGTTTCATAAGGGCTCCACGCCCACTACCGAGCTCAAACAAGGAACGCAGAGACTTTTTTACAAGATACGGCCAAGTTTTCATTTCACGTATTTTTGAAGGAGACTTGTTTGCTTGCGAGTGTGGGATGGTGACGGATCTGATATCA